TTGTTTTTAGCAGTGAGACATCAGTAGTTTTGGATGGAGGCCCAGCCTCCATTTCCTCAGTCATCTGTGAAGATTCTGTTTCCAAGTAAGTTCGCATTCACTGTCTACATGCTGGCTGCAGCATCTTACAAGGAAATGCAGCTCAACCTGTAAGAGCAACTAAAGGGAGGACCCAGTGCTGAGTCCTCCCCTGGCAAAGTGCCATGATCCATCATGGGCACCAGTTTGTGTCCCAGCTGCTCCACTTCCCATCCAGCTCCCTGCTTGTGGCCTGGGAAAGCAGAGGACAGCCCAAAGCCTTGGGACCCTGCATCCTCGTGGGAGACCAGGAAAAAGCTCTGGCTTCTTTGGATCAGCTCCACTCCAAGCTATTACAGCCACTTGGGGAATGAACCAACAGATGGAAGACCTTCCTCTCTGTCTTTCCTTTTCTCTGTTAATCTGCCTTTCCAATAATAAATAAATAAATCTTAGAAAGTCAAGGTAATTCAGAAAGTAGAATGGCCAGTTAATAGAGATTTCCACCCCCCCACAGCATCCCAGGATAGAAAGGGAAGGCCACAGAGGCAGGCCAGCATCAAGTGGAGTCATCACACTGGACCACGTTTGGAGAAGTTATTTGTCTTTGAGCCTCGATTCACTGATCTGTAAAGTGGGGGTGACAGTGATGATCTTACAGTGTTGGGTAAGCCTATCTTCAGGGAACCTTCAGTAAAGGGGGGCGCCCTCAGAGTGCCCTCTGCTTCTGGATTCCTTACACTGGGCTGCAGGTCTCGGCTGTCACGTGGTAGACTTGGACTATGTAGGATTTTAAAGTTGAAACTAGAAGGAGAGAGGGATGCCTGATGCCCGGGGGTGCCAAGGGAAGGTGGGTGTGTTGGCCAATGAGAACAAGTCCCTTCTGAGAGGGTGTGCAAGCTGCGGTGTGGCCAGCTGCTCTGGGGACCTGAGAGCGCCTCTTCAATGCAGTCACAGACCAGCCGCGCCCCACGACCATGCCACCAGGACTCGCTTGCTGTCTTTGGGGCCATCTGGATGCCAGTATGTCTGCTGCCCCTAAGCCAGCTCTTCCCGTTGTTCCCATTGTGTCCAGGGAGGGCCTCTGTGCGCTACCCTGTCTGCAGGGGGTGTGTGGTGTGGAGCTCTGGTTCCAGGCTCCTGGGAAGAAAAGCAGCGGCTGTTAAGCCTGAGGGTAGGGGAGCAGGAACTAGGGTGACAGGTGACAGGAGGGCTGCACCTCAGGTCTGCCTCTTCAGAGAAAATGCTGCTTCCAGTTGTCTCTTAAAATGTCCTTAATTTGTTTTTCAGTAATCACAGATGCTGTTAATTGGACTCACATATACTCTGTGTGCCGTAAGTCATCTATTGAATGGCGAAGTGTTCATGTGCTGTGAGACCTGCCCTGCTCCAAGCATCTTGGCTTGTTTAGCCTGGAGGATGTGGACCTGGGCCTCTGGCAGCCTCAGGGGCTGTGCGTGGCACCAGCAGGCAGCCAGGGATGCCCGAGCCTCCCACCACAGTTCCTTTCTCGCATCTTAGAGTTGGAGAGAGGGGCAGAGTGGGGCAGGGCAGGGGACGGGGCCTGACTCTAGGTGCTGGTGGACTCCTGGTGCTGGTGGACTCCTGGCAGAGGCTAGGTGTCTTCCACCTCACACAGGACTCGCCTGCCTTGTCCACAACCAAACTCTAGAGGTCAGGAAGTGTGGGTTGTGAAGCTGGAAGCTTCTAAAAGTATGTGACTTCAAACATTGTGACATGCACGGGGTCTTCGATGTCGCTATTGGGCAGACTGAAGTGTGGTTCCAGTCAGCTGGTGCTGCTGTTCTCTGCACGTGCCCATGTGTGGGGGGCGCGGCTGCTGCTGGCACTGTGCGTGAGCGTGCAGCCTGAGAGCCTGTCTGTGCTGTGCGATGCCAGAGGGGGCCAGGGACTTGGGCACAGTCTCCCTGCCTCCCCCGGGGCCCTGTCGCTCCACCTGTACCCACACCTGTATTCCTTCCTGTCAGGAGCAGCTTGGCATCCGGGCACGATCTGTGTGTTGTGGGGAATGCAGCCTGGGGCAGGAAGGAGCCTTTTCACAGGAACATGGCCCAGCAAGGATGGCACATAGAACACCAAAATATTCCCTCCACGGCCACCGACAGACACAGTGTCTGCTGCCCATACCCCCTCCTGGTGAAAGGACTGGGGTGCCTGTCAATCGTCGCTGTTCTCAGGAGTGTTGGGGGTTTGTCCTCAGGCCCCTGGCTGGAGCAGTCATGTGCTCCCACGTGGGCATCCACCTAAACAGCAGATGGTCATGTGCTGTTCCCTTTTTCCAGTGCATTTGAAGAGCAGAGGTCATCCTTCCCAAAGGCCTGTACCAACCTAGCTGGGCCAGGAAGTGACCCAGGTCCCACGCAGGTGGCAGGGCCCGACCACTTGAGCCATCATTTGCTGGCTTCCAGAGTCTGTAGCGACAGGGAGCTAGATGGGCAGCTGAGGCCAGTCTCAAACCAAGAGCTCCCAGATGGGAGGCCAGCAGGCCAACTGGGTCCTAACCACTGGAGTGAGGTGTGTTTGGTCACAGCCCGACTGCCTGGAATTTAGTTTACTGCTTCTCAGACACTGGGCACATTTTTGGTTTCTCAGCTCAGAGACCGTGCCCATTCCCCAGAAGACCCCATCTTGAGGAAGAGCGGGTAGCTTTCTGCTTTTTGCTTCCTCCCCATGTTGTTGGCCTGAGCCCTGCCTTGGGCCACCTAGGGTAGCAGTTGGTGTCTTGCTAAACCGTGGTGGCTTTAGAAGCACTGGAGTGGCATCTGGTCCTCCTTGGGTCAGGATGCATGCCTTGCCCTAGGGTGTGAGTCATGGGGCCGGGGGTGGGGACAAGAAACTGCCACAGTGTGAGCGGTGTGCATTTTCACTGAGGCCGCCCTGAGGGCTTAGGTGGCTCTGTTCCTCAGGGTCATCGTCCCAGATGCCCCACTCTCCACCTGCTGTCTTCAGTAGCCACAGTGAGGTGTGAGTGCAGGGGCATCTGCAGACAGTGCGGGCCACGCTCCTCCTCGGCGTTCTTTCACAAATGAGATGGACACCCTGAGGCTCCACTGGGCGCATCCTTGGGTCTGGGCTTGACCTCTTGGCTGTGGTATGTGTGGGATCAGGGGCGGCCACCTGGGCCTTCCTGCCTTCTATGCCAGCCACCACCCCTGCTGGCTTCCGAGCCTGGGCTGCGCCTTGGGTGCCTGCAGTTACTAGGAGGCCTAGGTTCTCCCTGGAGGCCTCCATCTGTGCTCCCAAAACCTTCATGAAAAAAGGGGACCTTGGTTGAGTAAACAGGCCTGATTGCATGTACGCAGAACCTCAGCCATAGCCGGCATGTTACCTGAGGTGACCCTTGAGCCTTAATTTGGGAGGGAAAGGGAGAAGGTTGATTTTTATCCAGATTTAGAGTGAGGTGCTAGAAGTGGACATGCATGGTGATGGCTAATAAAACAGAGCATTCAGGTGGAAGTAGAGCCCCTTGGGGACCATCGCTGTCCGCAGCACTGCGCCCTCAATCATGCTTATGCCCCTGGGACAGCAGTGGCCGAAGTGAAGTGATGAACCAAGGCGCACTGTAGTCTGTGTGTGGCACAGTCAGGCCCATTATCAAGGCTGGTTGACCAGAGCAAATTCTCCTGTGCTTACCCTGAGGAGCTAAAAATTAATTCTGATTGCTTTTAGGTCACTTTTTTATAGGGAGCCAGGCACTAGGAGAACAGAACTCTGTAAGCAGGACCCGTGCAGCAGGCTGCCCTCCAGGCTCACGCCCCCTGCAGGGCCAGCTGGGCAGTCTTCCTGTGCCGTACAGGCCGTGTGGGTGGAGAAGGCGTGTCTGGGGCACCCCGAGGATCACACGTGTTCCTTCCTCGGCCTGACCCTGCCACGGTTCTCCTGTGGGTCGAGTCTTTTTTCCCCTTGAGCATTTATGTGCTGGATTTGAAAAGCAGACATGTGCACACACAGATTTTTCTATTCCCTGCTTCACTAACCACATACCTACAATAGTTAGGGCTCTGCCAGGTGCCAGGAGCTCCAGCTGGGTTGCAGGGACCAGGACAGTTAGCAGACCAATGTGAGATACAGGCATTTCAAGTGGCAGCATAACCCACTACATCACAAGATCCACCCCACGATCCTGCCCTCTGGGTATAGGGCAGTGTTAACAGAGTGCACACTGTGACGCAGGCGGGACGTTAAGAGGAAGGGCCACAGGCCACGGAAGTGTTAATAGAAGTCTTGCTGTGTTGTTGGATCTGTTTTATGAAAAGATGGTTCTGAGACAAGTGCCAGTGAGCTGCCTAGCCTGTGTCCTGGTTTGGATGTCAGCCCTCTGGGCTGCCTCCCTCTGAGGACGCTTTGTCACTCTGGTTGCAGTAGGTAATACTGCTGGAGACCTGACAGGGTTTTGTGGAGGCTGGGGGGACTTTTGTGAATTTTTCCAGCATGTGCATGTGGCTCTGGCTCCCACATTGGGCCTGCCCCACCCCAAGCCAGAGTGCACGTGTCGACGGAGCAGACACCGTTGCTGCTGGGCTAGGCTGGTTCCTTGCAGCTGTGGGGCTGGGGATGTTCATCGGAATGGCAGGGTTGTGGCAGCTCCTGCTTCGTGCTCTGGGGAGCTGCTGAGGGGACGCCTGGGAAGGCTCGGGATGGGACCCCACCCACAGCACGTCTCCAGGTAGCTGCTGTATCAGCCGCCTGTTGGCAGACCCTTGTCAAACGCAGGTGACCTTGGACCAGTTCTCCAGGTTCTGGGTGTGGCTGGCTGATTAGTGAGGGGCCAGGTGGCTGGTGCTGCTCAGACAGTTTGGTCTTCTGAAAAGAGCCGCCTACAGCGCCAGCAGCCAGGAGCCAGGGCCATACTGTGAACTTGACGGGGCAAGCCGCCCATGCAGTGCACCCGGCCCTCACAGGTGCCCTTGCTATCCAGAAGAGGTTGGAGACACCTGTCTGAGCACTCCATTCTCTTCCAGGAACAAGTCCACTGCCAACGGGGACTGCCGGAAAGACCTGCGGGAGCGGAGCCGCAGCCCCATCGAGCGCGCCGTGGCTCCTGCCGTGAGCCTGCACGGCGGCCACCTGTACACGTCCCTTCCCAGCCTCAGCATGGAGCAGCCCCTCGCGCTGACCAAGAGCAGCGTGGACACCGGCAGGTCAGCCGGTCTCTCGCCCACCCTGACACCCGTAGAGCGGCAGCAGGTACGCCGTGTACAGGACACACGGGGCTGGTTTCAGTGGGATGGCGGCAGAAGGATGCAGGGGCTAGGAGGGGAGGGGGAGCATCCTCAGCTCCAGCTGAGCCAGGCATTGCAGGGCAGGCAAGAGACATTGCAGCGGCTCTGGGAGCCACTGCCCACTGAGGGCGCTGGTGACCTGAGGCTGTTTAGTTACGGGAATTGCTGTGGCTGTGGGACAGCCTGGGCTGTTGGCTGCCCACCGGCCACGTCACCTTTGCTTCCCAGGGAGCCCTCAGCCGAGCTCCTTTCTGCACCAGGAGATGTGGGGTGACCATGTGTCCCGGGCAGACATGGATGCTCACTCCAGCGGCCCAAGGGCCCCGGGTGGCTTCCTCCTTCTGCCTGATAGGGGACTCTGATTTAGGGAGGTAAGACCAGGAAGTGTCCCCTATTAAGTGGTAGCTTCTTGCTCAGAAGGAAAGAATAGCATGGGAGTGCCCTGAGCCAGGTGGGATTCTGGGACAGTGCCTCGTGTGTGGGCAGGGGGAGGGGAGGCTCTGGAGGCAGGCTGTGCCCCCTCGTCATTGTGTCTCCCTTCCTGTCTCAGCAAAGCGGAAGCTCAGCCAGGAAGGCCCTAGCACTGGGTCCTGGCCGTGGCATAGTTGGCCAGCCTTTGACCCCGGTGCAGGCTTAAGCCTTGGGTCCTCTCCCGTGTGTCCTCTTCCCAGACAGAAGGCTGACAGACCCTTGGGGGCCCTGTCCTCTCCCAGCTGTGGGATGGCAGGGAGATGCAAGTTCCCCGTGACTGGCTGCGGCAGAGCCTGTCCCCCCCGTGGACGTGATCTGTGCTGGGGATGCACACGCACACCTACACCCACCAGCTCTAATCCTGTTCATTGCAGAAATAGAGACTTGGGTCCTGGCTCCCAGCTTTCTCATCTCAGTTCACTTCCGGTCCTGGGAAGGTGCATGCCAGCCCGTGAAGGAAACCCCTCCCCCCAGTGGCATCGCTGTCGCCTCTGGTGACTGCTCCTCCTAGTGACAGCACAGCCATGCGCCTGGAGACCAAGTCTGATTTTCAGACTGATAGTCTAATTCTGCGATACCTTGCCCGGGGTCTGCCCTCAAGTATGCCCGGTGGGGTGTGGGGGAAGACACTTGCCAAGTCCAGATGGTTGGGCAGCAGCTGTAAACAGGGGCTGGAAGGGGCCAGGCAGCTCAGAACAGAGCAGGACTTGGGGGACCTGGCCACACGGGGAGCAGGAGGCGGCCACTGCTCCAGAAGGGCCAGCTTGGGAGCGGATGCACCGCAGGGCTTGCTCGGGACTGACTGTTGCTTTGCGGTGTGATTTCAGTTTTGAATAGAGGCGCGTGTAGGTTTGACAAGTTTGCTGGGCAGAACAGTGGGCAGAGGGCGCTGGGAGGGCCTGTCGTGCCTGGGAACCTGGGACGGGCTGGCACCTGGGACGGGCTGGCACCTGATGCCCTCTGTCCTGCAGAACCGGCCCTCAGTCATCACCTGCGCCTCCGCCGGCGCCCGCAACTGCAACCTCTCACACTGCCCCATCGCACATAGCGGCTGTGCCGCACCCGGACCCGCCAGCTACCGGAGGCCACCCAGCGGTAAGTGCCTGGGCCTGCATGGGTGGAGAGGGTGGCACCCCCGTGCTGGGAGGGCACCCCCTGTCCTGCTCTCCCAGCTGACCTCCCTGTTCACCCCACTCCTCCTGGCAGCGGCAGCCTCCTGTGACCCCGTGGTGGAAGAGCACTTCCGTAGGAGCCTGGGCAAGAACTACAAGGAGCCCGAGCCGGCGCCCAACTCGGTGTCCATCACGGGCTCCGTGGATGACCACTTTGCCAAAGCTCTGGGTGACACGTGGCTCCAGATCAAAGCGGCCAAGGATGGCGCGTCCAGCAGCCCCGAGTCAGCCTCACGCAGGGGCCAGCCCGCCAGCCCCTCCACCCATATGGTCAGCCACAGCCACTCCCCCTCGGTGGTCTCCTGAAGGGGGTGCCTCCTTCCAGCCACGGGCGGGTCTGCATGGTTTGCCTGAGCTTCGAACAGTCAGTGCTTAGAAAAACAGGGGGAGATGGGGTGGGGGGAGTGGGATGGTTTATTCGCAAAATCCGTGTTGCTGGGACAACTGTTCTGTACTTGCTTGGCATTTGTGCGCGGGGCCCTCGGACATGACAGCAGGAGCGACACGGAGCGTCTGTCCTCCTGCCCCAGCTACCAAAGAAACCTCTAAGGCAGGCTGCCACGCCGCAGCGCCCGCGGAGCCCTTCATCTGTGCGCCCTTGCTTCCTAAACCCAGGGTGTACGTGTGCGTGTCGTGTCTGATTTGCACTACTGGAGGACAGAGTTGCCTACCCACTTAAGGTGACCGAGGACAGCGTGTGGTGTGCAGAACGGTGGTGTCTTGTAGGTTGCGGGTCTTCCTTTGCGTGGATGTTGGGCGTGGGCGCTGGCCTGCACACTATGACCCTACATGCTCTTCCTAGGCCATGCTGAGGCCAGGCCTGGGCCTTGGGGTGGCCGCACCCTTGGGGTGTGGTGTGTACAGTCAGTGAACAGACCCCGCACTCGCTAGCTTCCCTCGAGCTAGTCTGTTTCTGTCAGTTACAGTCCTAGGTATACTTACTGCTGGTACAGTTGTACTGAGATTTGTATGCGTTACTCAGTTACTCTGGGGCGCCCTCCGCCGCCCCATCCCCCGCTCGCTGCAGGCCCGGCTCCTGGGGCTTTCCGTCTTCCACCCCCCAAACCCAGGCCACTCCTGGGTGACCACCCCACAGCGGATGCCCGGGCCGAGGCCATGAACATTCCTGACTTCATCCAGTTATTGCTGTGTGCATTACCGTTTGCTGAACTAATAGCTACTAACGAGAAACGAGGTGCCGGAGGCAAGGCGCCACCTGCTCCCTCGCGGTCGTCCCGCTCCCAGCTGACCTGGTGAGGCAGACGGGGCCACAGCACCCTTGCAGCTCCGGAGACCAGAAATGCGGGGGTCCTTGGTGAATTGTGGACGAAGGTCCCGCCTGCGGGGGAGGGGGCTGAGCTCTCGCTGCGGTCGCAGGGCGCCTGCAGCCTTCCCAAGGCGAGCCCCCGGCCCGGGCCATCGCTCTGCCCTGCTGGGCCTCCCGGCCCCGGCCCGCGTTCTCTGTAGAACCTTTTTTATATAGGTAACTTTAAGACCATCATTACGCTGCGCGTAAAGAATGTACAGGGACATTTGTAGGTATTTTTGAAGAACAATTAATTTGTTAATGATATGTAGCTATTTAATTTTCCCCTTTCCTATTGTAATCATTTTTTTGTTGTTTGGAAAAAAAAGTTGATCTTTTTTTTTGCCGTAGATTTCTGTCCGAGTGCGTGAGCACAGTTATCGGAGAACACTGCGTCTGCACCTAGCCACTAGTTTGTTACTGCTGCAGGCTACTGAGCGCCCGCGGGAGCGCGCGCTGACCTAGCTGGGATAGGCAGTGCCCAGGAGGGTGGTGGGAGAGCGGGCACCACGGCCTTGGGAGGGCCCAGGAGGCGCCGCCCCTGCCCTGTCTGTAAATCTGTAATATACCATTCTCTGTGGCCTGTTTTTCCTGGAAAAAGGAGAGAAAAAAAAAAGTTTGGCAGGCCATCTTTTTTTTTTTTTTTTTTTTTTTTTTGTACTTCAAAGTAGCCTTAAGAACAATAATAAAGTGCTCTTAAACCATACCGAGTGAGCGGCGGTCGGCGTCTCCCCGTGGACCTTCCTGCTCAGAATGGCAGCCTGAGCTGGAACTGGACTTGGGTTCCTATGGGGTGCCTTGGACAGGGTGGGCACCAGTGCCAGAGCACCCCTCAGCACCTGGCTGTACAGTCAGGACTTCTGAGTCCCACGCAAGGGAGGCCCTGGGTGGAGCCAGTGGCACTGATGCACTGCACGGGCAGCGAGCTCGCTCGTCCTTGGACTCTCCACGGGGCCAGGCTGGCAGAGCGCTCACAAGGACCCCACCGTCCCAGTGCCCAAAGCTCCCAAAGGTGAGAGGCAGCATGGGAGAGCGCCCGCGGGTGCTGCCCTTGCCCCCGCTGCTTGTCCTCACTGCCACCCTGTGAAAGCCTGAGTAACTGACAACTCAGGACAAGAAAGAACAGCGCAGCTGGAAACCAAGTCCCAGAAAGGTGGCAATACCAAAGCCAAGGTTATTATTACTGACTTCCGAGCGAGATGACGAACCACGATGCACAGCGAGGGAGGGGCTGCAGTCCCAGGCGGCAGAGCTGGTCGGGCGCTGCCTCGCGCTCACACGGCCTCCTCGTCACTCATGTCCCAGATCTGCAGAGAAGGCGAGACGTTCGGCTGAGGCCCACGTGCCAGTGCCACCCACAGAGCCGCTTCAGTGTGTGCAGCTGTCACGGAGACAGCAGTGCGGGCGCTCCCGGGACACCCGAGGTCCGGCAACCTCTCCCCGCACAGAGAACCTGATCTAAGACAAGCCCCACAGGTTGGCAACCAGGGCCCAGAGCAGGCCTGCATGTCACCAGGCCGTGCCCACCCCCGACGCGCTGAGGTCCCTACTCCCTCAGTGCTCTGAACCCAGGGAAACTGGGTCAGGAGCTGACGTGGCTCTCAGCAGGAGCCCAGAGGCAGCCAGACCCCGGTGGGGACCCTCAGTGTGGCCTGAGGGGAGGGTGCATGGCGTGACTGAGGGAGACAGGTGGGCTGGGTTCACTCTGGATTCCCTACACCTCACCTTCAGACCTGCAGCACCCCAGCACAGGCTGCAGCTGGCCTGGCTGCCAGGGGAACACTACACCCAAGGTGGCTTGGGGAGCCGGCAGGCCCAGCCAAGCTCAACACCAATACCAGCCTGGCTTTGAAGGTGCAGAAATAAACACAAAGAACATTTCCCTTCTCCTGGACTCAGCTGCCCGAGCTGGGGTGGTGGGCATCCCTGTCACCAGCCACTCTGTGTGGCACAGGACTGCGCTGAGATGCAGCTGTGGAGAAGGACTGCCAAGGCCTGTCCCTTCCGCCCCACCGCTCGCAGTGCTTACCCAGTGTGCCAAGAACACACTGATCGGGTGACACAGAAACCCCTGGAGTGTTCCGTGGTGGGGAGCTGTGCAGGCCTCGTCCCCCGCTCTCCCCACTCCACACGTCAGGCAGGGCTCACAGCTCAGGCTGAGCTGCAGGGACGTGGGGAGGGGGAGCCACAGGGCAGCCCTGCAGGAGGTGATGGCCCCCCTCACCACCACCTGCCTGCCTTTTGGGGGCCGGCCAGGCACTTGCTTAGGACTAGTCAGGGGTCCTGCTGGATATGCAAGTCCCCAGAGGACCACCACAGCTCGCCCTGACTCCTCAGTGCGGCTTGCCTGCCCCCCAGGCTGGAGTCGGTCAGTGTCGTCCTCACCATGTGCTAAACTGCCCAGAGCCCAGGCCGCACCCGGAGTACCCCATGTGGTGCCAGCGCATCCCTGCCACGGAGGAAGGGTGTTTGTCCTGGGGAGGTGTGGTTGGCAGGAGGCCTGCAGAGCCCAGGTTGGTCCTCCCTAGCTCTCTGCGCCCCTGCTCGCAGGTGCTTCGTCCCCTACCTGCAGCCAAGTCAGAAAGACCCCCGGGTGTGGGCTGGAACCTCCACGACTGAGCGCCACACCTAAGTGTTCATGGGTGTCCAGCTGCAGTCTGAGGGACAGAGGTGCCGGGGGGGCAAACCCAATGGGGAGCCCTGTCCCAGGACAAGCCCCCATGAGCAGGAGTGTGAGGACAGGTGAGAAACCCCATGGCCAGAGTCGCTGGGGGTCAGCCTTCCCTAGGGAATGGGGGAGCTCAACAGGGTCTCACCTAAAGAAACCAAGCATATTTTCTGGATCTCCGTGAGTGTGGAGGAAAGCGCAAGGTTTGTTCGCAGCCTGTGCTGGCACCTCGGGCCCAGAACCAGGACAGAGCCAAGCGCGTGCTCGCTCGTACAGGAAGCCAGGGTTCAGTGACAAAGGCCCAAGTGGTGGGATCTGATGGTCATCCCAAAGGGACAAGGCCACAGTTATTTGCGAGAAAAGTCCACACCTTACATGGTTCACAGAGTCCATGGCAAGTGTCGTGGGGAGAGCACGGTGCAGTCCTCCCCAGCGGGAACGGGAGGGCCCAAGGCGAGACCTCACAAACGCATCAGCAATGCCGCATGGGTATCCGCTGTGTCAAGGCAAAAAACTACAGAGGAAATACCCCAGCGTTCCACAAAAGGCCGGCTCTGACATGGAGAAGAGAAAGCTGGATGAGCTTACAAAGGGGCAGGCCCCAGGTGTGGGCAGGCCTCGTCAGAAATGGTGCTGGCCTCACTGTTAACCAAGAGGACAGACTTCCTAGGATGCGGAAAGGAGTGAGCACAACGGGCAAAAACTGATGCTGGTTCCGTTCCCACATGGCTGCACATGGCAGGGCTAGGCCAGGACACGGCCAGAAGCTTCACCCAGGCAGCCCAGGTGGGTGGCACCCTAGTGGGAAGGTGCCCCAGTGCCACGTGATGGTGCAGCCAGTGCACCCCAGCTCTGAGCCCTGAAACTTGCAGCATTTGACGAGGCCACTATGGAAGTAAGGCAAGACATGAACCAGAAGGCAGCTGGCATTGTGGCATAACGGGTAGGCTGCTACCTAGAACACCAGCATTCCACGAGTGCTGGTTCATGTCCTGGCTGTCCCACTTCCCATCCTGCCCCTGGCGGAAATGCCTAGAACGCTGCCCTAGTGCCAGGGACCCTGCACCATTAGGGAACCAGAAGAAGCCCTGTGCATTAGCCTTGCACAGCCCACAGCTGAGGTTCACAGGAACGGGCACGCTGCGTGTCTGAGGTAGGCCTGTGCAGTATCCAGTGGCCCAGCCTCTGCAGAAAGGGCTCGCCAGGCACTTCGCAGAGGGCCTGGAAATGCTGAGAGATGCAGCCACTGGAGAATGGAGAACCAAAGGTCCCAGCGTGGATAAGCAAGCACCAAGCAATGCTCTTACTGCTAGGCACCAAAAGGGGCTGGCGTGTGGCACGAGTTGAGCCTCTGCCATGTTGCCCCACTTCCAGCCCAGCTCCCTGCTGATACACCTGGATGATGCAGTCGTTTAGGCCCTGCTAGCAGGTGGGAGACCAAGGAGTGTGGTTCTGCCTGGCCTGGCCCATGAAGACTTCTTTGTAACACTGCCATTCAAGTAAAACAGGCAGCATTTAGAAGGATTCCAGTGTCCTCCAAGAGGAAATAGACAAAGCGGTACACGCTGTCAGACACCGGTGCCCGTGATGTGTCCCAGCCAGTCAGCCATGTCCTGCATAGGGGGGACAGGAGCAGACGGGCTGGACAGAGGCCGGCAGGGCGTGAGCCCACGGCAGCACGGGGCCCTCGGCCCGGAGGCTGCAGTGACACATCAGAGGTGCTCACCATGACACACGTGCGCACTTTGTGCTGGCACAGCAAGTTAAACCAAAGTGTCTAAACGACATTAAAAGGTGTTGTGTGCAAAGACAAACTGTGGACTTTGAGACCCCATGTATACACAAATTACATTTTGCACCAGAAGTATCATTTCTTGGAAGGTCCCTCCTGGAGGGAGACCTCTGTGCACCTTAAACATAAGCCAACAGGCAGCGGGCCAAGCTCTGACTCCTGGAGAATACAGCGCCCCCTGCGGGACGGAGGCTCACCCTCACACTTACAAGGTGTGGAAACAGATGACTGCCTGGAACCCGGCTGGCTCAGTCTTAGGGGAGACTGCGCTAGCTGTGGACAGTGAAGAGGAGGAGTCCACGGTGGGGTGGAGGCAGTCCTGGGGCCATGTCACGGAGCAGGGAGGGGCTTCTCAGGGTGGGACCACACACGCCCTAAGGGCCTCCGACAGCTGGATCCTAAGTTGGGGGTCCCACTGGTGGACCACACCACCTGTTATGGGCGCAGCAGTTAGCATGTGGTGAGTGGGCGTTACATGTAAACACAGTACACCATGGCTTCAAACCTTGGTACTGGTCCCCCTGATCTGGTAATATGCAGTTGAGGGTCACCAGGCCACTTTGGCCCTCTGAGCGGCTGCATTCGCTTCGGGGTCCCCCAGGTGGGCAGGAGGGCAGCAGGGTTCAGACCCAGATCCCTGAGGGAGCTGGAAGAACAGAGGAGGCATGCGCTCACCCCGCCACCCTTAGTACCTTCAGGGTGCAGCGGGGGCCATGAGTGTCCACAACCAGACCCTTCCCACAAGGACACTGGCACCCGGCGGAGCACCAGCAGCTTGAGAAGGAAAGGCAGGGCCATGGAGGGCTTGGGTGTGGACAGGACGCTCTGGGCCAGCAAACTTCAGCTGAGACCACAACACATACTCCATCTCTCCTCCTGGAGGCAGAGCTGACAGGACCCGCGTCCTGGCACCTCACACACCATTGAATTTGCTGAGCAGGTCCACTGACACGGCAAAGCCCTGCCGGCCAGCGTGAGGCCAGCACCCCCCAGGTTCCCTGCAGGAGGGGGAGCTTGGAGCATGCATCCTACAGTGGGTGGAAAACTGCGTCTGATTCGGGAAATGCAAGGCTTGCCTCTTCCCAGGCAGTTCTGGTGAAAGAGCCTGGGAAGGTACAGACAGGGGAACCCAGGCTCTGTCCTAGGACGAAGCAGCAGGGAACAGAGCCCTGGCCAGTGGTGCGCGGCTGCCTAGGGTGCCCCCATGGAGACTGAGTCGGGCAGCAAGACCTATTCCAGTTGTGCCCAGGAAGGCCCCTTCTAGAAGGGGCACATGGCTGGTGCTCTGCTCAGCTCTGCCCACAGCAGTCTGGTCTAAGCCCTAAAGGGTGGAACATTCCAGCAGAGGCCTCCAGGCCAGAGGTCTTGGGAAGAGGTTGGGAAGGTAGGGAGCAGGGCTGGGTCCGGGCAAAGGCTGAGAGGACAGGCTGGAGGTGGGGACCGTGTCTGCAGAGCTGCTGCTCCCCGGGCTGGGAAGGATGCCGCGGCAGTGACTGGGTGAGCAGTCAGCGGGCCTAGGAGGGAGCTGCTTCTGCGTGGGTTAGGGCCATTCCTTTAGGGACGAGACATGCCAGTTGCTGTGCCAGGGTCTTGGGGGCTGACCACACATCCTGCTGACACAGGGCGCCCCACGGCTCCCTGGGCACGGCAAGCACGAAGCCATGGTATGCAGTCCCTGCCCAGCTGCACGTAGCCAGTGCCCACCATGAAAGAGGTCATTCAGGAAGATGGCCTGGCCGTGGAGCCGCCTCTGCAGCCTCAGCCGGGGCAGGTGTGAGCAGGACGCCCAGGGTGCCTGGTCCAACCCCAACCGCAATCCCAGGCCACGCCACCGATCGTGCTCGCCA